TAAGGATCCCTATCAAAGGTTTTTGGGGCACTCTTTTATCATGTTTTCTTAACGCACCTAATATGGTGGTTTGGTTGCTTATTTTGTGTATTCTGCTACAGTGGATGCTGTAGTTTATGCACTCGCTCCTATTGAATATTTGTTTTGACATGATATCTTCGAGTTGGGTTATGCAACATGGTCATTTATTGTCTTTTCTATTTGTTTTTTCTTCTTAAAAGAATGATGCAAAACACACGTGAAGAGAAAATAATACCATTTTTACTTATTTTGTGGCTTTTCAGTTTACTTAATAATATTTGTTTTCCTGTGATCCCAAAGTTAGGTCTCTTGTTTTAGGGTTATATCTACTTATTAGAAACTATTTAGTTGTTATCTTGTAGAAGTTCAGGTTTCTTTGGTTGATAAATAAGTGACCAGTCTCACCCTTTGTTGTAATGCCAATCAATGATTTATAGGCTGACTCGCTACAAGGGTTTCAAGGAGGGGCATAAAAGAATTCTTGTGGCCACAGATTTGGTTGGAAGGGGAATTGACATTGAACGCGTTAACATTGTCATCAACTATGACATGCCAGATTCTGCTGATACATACTTGCACCGGGTAGATTTTGTTTCAACTGCATGCTAGTCTTGCTTCGCTTTTATGCATATAAGCTAACTGACTGATATTGTTCCTCTGTCCATTGGTAGGTTGGAAGAGCTGGTCGGTTTGGCACCAAGGGTCTTGCAATTACATTTGTTTCATCTGCTTCAGATTCTGATGTGCTTAATCAGGTTTGGATTCGGAACTTCCAGACATTGTTTTGTACCATTATCTGTCCACCTACGAATTTTGTTCAATCGATTGCAGGTCCAAGAGAGGTTTGAAGTGGATATAAAGGAGCTTCCTGAGCAGATTGATACATCCACATACAGTACGTTTCTTTTGATGTCTTCCATCTGCTTTTGATATAACTAGTAGAACATTCATATTCTTGTCAATGATTTCAACGCATTGTTAGAATGCTCCCATTTCTACTTGGCTTAATATTTTTGTGGAAGGTTGTTTGTTTTGCTGTACTTGATGCCACCATCAGTTTTTGGTTGGCCTAATTAGATAGAATAGATGTGGCTTCGATTTGTGCCTTTCCTCTACTTTTTGTTGTGTATGCTGGCTTCAATTTCTAATGCTTAGCAATTTGTTTTTTTGTAGTGCCATCATAATGGAGGTTCATTCAGCAAATAGCAGTCTTCGGGCCCAAATCATGAATCGATTTGTGTGGTTGTCTGATTGCTAGAGGCCACGTGTATTTGTTCTTGAACTAATGTGGAATGCTTTATTTAAAATCAGTTGCTTGGGGGAGTGGCAGATGTACCACCATGTGGTTTTGGACTGCTGCTTAAGAGTATTGTAGCCTTTTTAAGAACTCAATTGGGGATTTATCTATCTGTACGGAAAATTTCCCTTTCTATAGAGTTGCATGTTATATTATCTTTTATATAATATATAAAATTTGGAACCTAACCTCTTAATCTGATTTTTGGATATAATTTGAGTAGCGATTTACTCTTTTAAGGTTTAGGGTAAATTGATTTTGTGGTTATCTTTCGGAGCTATTCCGTATCACGTTTTATGTAGTCGTAATAAGGGAGTAGGCTTTTTATTTTTGCCTACTCAAATGCGATAATATTGAGGATGATTTTTAAATTATAATAAATGTGTAAGTTTTAAAATTTTTAATTTTATTTGATGTATTTTTGAATTCTAAATTTATTAATTAATATAAATTTAGTAATTTAATTATTATGTATCATTATCTAAAATTAATTATATAGTTAATATTAAATATTATAAAATATTAAATATTTTATTATAATTCAAGAGAGTTATTTGCACATTAATTCAAATTAATTTGGTTTCGTTATTTGCAAATTATCCTCTCCCTCTGTTATTTATTTATTTTTATAAACAGAATTATTAATTCAGTGGGGTTTTTTTTTTTTTTTTTTTTTTTCTCTCCGGTGGGTCTTCTATATCATGTTGAGCCAAGTAGGGAAATGTCTCGGACTCAGTTTATTATGGAAGAATTGCTATGCAAAATATATAGGGCAGCTATTCAAAACTTATGTTTAGTATCTAATCAAATTGAATTTAGAAAACAAAACCCATTCTGTGACATTTCAATCTGACAATAGGGATATAATTACACCCCTCCCATTTAGATTGAAAAAAGAAAGGATTTTCTTATAGCTGTGGAGGTTTAGTTAAATTTAGATTTGGGCAGTCCGTATATTATTGTCATGTTTGTTTTGTATCAAATATGTCTAAAATATAAAAATTATTATCATACATATTAAATATATATTTTAGTTTTTATTAAATTTATATATAATTTTTATTAAAATATTAAATCATAAATTTTTTAAATATTTTTTAATGATTTTCGTGTTATTTAAAATTGTCGGTTCCAATTAAGGATTTCCTTGTGATTGAAGTGGTAAGAAGAGGTATTATCACAATTAAAAGCTTGATATTCCCTCGTTTTATTATTACTAGAGTGCCATTCCCTAGTTTTATTATCATTACACTGCCACTGGCTTCGGGCTGACTGTCGGAAGTCATTGTTAATCGTTAGAAATATTCTGTCATAATTGATTTCATCATATATAGAGCATATAATTTTAGTCTTAATCTTGATAGATTGATCTCGATAATTGATCTCATCATACATAGAGCATTTAATTTTAGTCCTAATCTTAATCGATTGATCTTGTTGTAATCATTTGTTATGCTATGTTTAAATATAAAACATGCAAATATTTTAAAGTCAAATTATCAATTTGAATTTTTAATGCAAAGATATAGAGAAAATTAAATCATTAATTTCAAAGAACAAAGAGTGGTTTATCGTTTTACCCTGTAAGGTTACATGCTTATCATGATATTTTGTTCCTGAGTATTAGTAATACTACTATAACTTTGATAGCCGACACCATTCTTTTTAAAGCAAGCTAGATTTTTGCCCTCGCTTCGCCTAGGGGCTTTTCTCACAACATTATTTTCTCTTGATTTCTTTTCATTAGTAGAGAATAATGAAGCCCTTGATGCTTTCTTTCGCAACAATGTTCACCAATGACGCTTTGTTTTTGGCAGTTATAGTGGATTTAAATTCCTCATTTCATGTTTGCATGAAAAAATCGATGTTTGTTTGAACTTTGAAATGGCTTGATGCTGTTGAATCATATTGAATTGTACTGTTGAATCTTTTCTTTTTTTTGCAATCAAGGGTCATAACTCAGACTGTGCTAATTAAGTATAATTAAAGTTAAATGAGCCCCATATTCTCTGCCACCCCTACAAATTTCTTGCTGGGTTATTCCTTTATATCCTATTGGTTGGACGTGAAAAATGAATAGAACTGTTTAAGTGAGGCTGATCTGATCATCATCCTTAAAAATCTCAAGAAGTGAAGGCTTATTTTTGGCTTCCTAACCTATTGTATGGGACAAGGTAATGTATATGATCGTAAAAAAGGAAGAAAATCTTGATGATAAGTCCTATGATTGACTCTGAGTATACACAAGGCTGCAACCACTTGTTGGCTGTAAGCCCAATTAAATTCTAACAAGGATTCTCTAGAAAGCAAACCGCTCAAGCTGTGGTTGCTGCCTATACGTGCTATATTGCCCACTCAGTACCATTTAAGGCGTCATTCTAAACTTATTAGCTGAGAAAATCCTACGAAATCTACTTTAAGTAATTGCAAAACGATTTCAATTAGCGTAAGACCAAAGTGTTAATAACATAAGTCTCAAATGAAATAAATTAAAGTTAATTTGCATCCTACAAATGTTACTTAAGGAAAATAATCTCCATTAAAGAGATAAAGAACATGTTTATGAGGAATATAAGAGCATGTGAAATTATATTAGACATCTTAAACTTGCAAAACTTTTTGAGCCTGCAACACTCAATGGAGAACAAATTAAATTAATAGCTTTGTTGGATCAAAGCCAAATCCATTTATCTGCATCATACATTGTGTATCATCCGTTGCTGCAAAAAAAAAATCACAATTTACATGATGAAACCCTACAAAGAGATGATAAATCCAAGAACTGGAGTAAGTGTAGATGGCAATCTAATATAAAACATAGCAGGAAGTTCAGGATCCAGTACTAACCATTTTCCTCTCCTAGAATCAGACTAAATAAACCTGAACTAAACAAATTAAGGAATACCTGGAAATGAAAGAATGTGTCAATAATTGGTAGTATTAAGCCAAGAAAGTCTCTCAAAAAATTGAAGAGCTCAGCGAGAAAAACCAATTAAAAGATCGCATATGAAAAGCTTTTTGCATGCAAAATTAAAGCAGTACCATGAACAGCTACTAACATAGCTCACATCAATTGTGCTAAGGTCAATTCCATTCTGCAACATTGATCTGAACCTGTGAGTCTATGGGAAAGGTATTTTGGTTGCAAGAGAGAAAGACGGCAAAATAGAAGAGGCAATCACATTACCATTTACCAATAGTGCAATAACATTAATAAATAATAATCTTAATAACACTAAGTTAGAGTTTTAACTTCAACACAACAAAAGATTGTGTCCATCACAATGTCACAAAGAATGAAAAACAAAACAAATCCAATCTAATAGGAAAGGGGTTAACTTTGGCAAATTCATAACATCAGATGCATGAAACCAATTTCGTAAATAAATCTGCAAATTGAATCTCAAGTGTAGCTTTAAAAGTGAAATACTCATAAATCTTGGAAGTAAAACAGTAGTAAAAAACCAGACCTGCAACCAACGATCAAACTCATCCCAACTTACCTTCTCAGCAATATCGGGCAACTCAGCAGCAATCCCAACATCAGCAGAGTGCACAAATTTTGCAGGCTCACTGTCATAGGATGAATAAATTATTATGAATTGAAATTTGTAATAATATTTTCACCTCTATTTCCCTATCAATTCTTGCTTTCAATATAATTGCTAGAGGGAACGACGAATTAGATAAGTTTCATCACATTCTTATTTAAATAAGTACAAGCAAAATAAATGAATACATGTAAAAACCCACACATACAAAGATTTTTTCTTGCCGTCAGAAAAATTAGGAGTTCACTAACAACAACAAAAAATTTCGTCATTTGGAAATTAAATTGAAAAGAAATGTGTTCAAGAAAAAAGAACAATTGCAAACCTTCCACGTTGGCAGTTAGCAGCATAGACAAAGTAGTTCGTTTAGAGAGATCCAGCCCAACACCCTGACCCAAACTCCCAGCTTTCTTCAGTTGAGTCACCATTGCATTGAGCAGAATCCCTATGCCACATCCAATATCTAGCACCAGCTTCACTGTCGACCAATCGTTAACAGTTGTGAGGTGAAAATCTGCATGCAGGGGTTAGAAAAAAAGCAAACCTTCAAGGTTTGATGCTGTTGAGATGGAAAGAGAGATGGGTACTAAAGAAAGAGAGATCTGGCTTGACCCTGAGCTGCAAGATGACTTTCTTAATGTTAATGATGCTTCAATTTTCTATAGTGATTTCCCTTCCTGATTTCCCTTGCATGTCTTCTTCTTCATCTTCTTTGTCAACTCGGGCACCTATCAAGGTCATTGCATGTTCTTCTGCTTCTACCGCATCGTCTTCTTCTTCCACGGCTTCTTAGGCAGTTTTGAAGTTATATGCTGATGAAGATGTGGAGACAAAGAATAATGGTTATGGTCATCAACATCGGCATCGTAATCATAATCAGCATGATCTGGTGGATGGAACACCAGCAGCTTTTGTAGGTTTAATGGGTTGTGTTTAGATGAAGATCACCTGTGGAAGAAAGACAATAAATTTTTTTGCTTAGAAAGCTTTCTCCCATTCCAGAAGCTTCCTACCCTTTCTTGATTCCCCAAAAAGCAACACATTCCCGAGCATTTTACCAAATTTACCCATCAATCATTTTTAATTACTTTGTTGACCTGTACAAAAAATTAGGAGTTAGGGGATTACTTTTATTTATGTTACTAGAAGGATGCCCGAGCTTTGGTTTGGAATTTTTATTAACATTTAATTAAATTAATTTGTAAAATGTGAGCACATTTAAAATGACAATAAAAAAAAGTATTGAACAATTAAAATGATATGAAACAACTCTTTCTTTTCATTATGAAATGACTTGTAATTTTCTAAACTGTCTGTATTTCTTGCATGATGTATGACATGTGCAATTTATAGGCATATTCATGGCAGACTATGCCTTCCATTTGAAATGCAATCATTGCCTACACAGCTCATAATGGAATCGGTTGACCTTTATGATGATAGATAGAAGATAATGAAACAATTATGACAGCTTACCACTTGATAAAGTACCACTAATGTTCAAGATAGTTTGGAAGCTGACTAAATGGAAAGCCCCAAAGTTTTGATAAAAAGGGTAGAAGTAGGCCAATGAATAATGCCTGCACTAAACATAGTATAATCACATTAACATCCAACCAAGATCCAAAATAGATTTAAGTGAAAATTGTCACACAACCTAATAATGTAACTCAATACACAGTACTTACTTGAAATGTAGAACCATAGGAATTTACAACAAATAGATCTAATGAACCACCCTGCAACAAATGCAAGAAAATATTCTTTAATACAATGCATGCACTCACACAATTTTTCTCAACTTTTTATGTTCAATTTGACCAACAAAATATAGGAACTTTCCAACAGTAAACATCATACTTTTAATCACTGTGCAGCATCCAATAAGATTACTTCCTGCAAATTATTAAATATCACATGTTACATGAATGTATTATATAGAACTTGGAAATGGTTAGCTACTTAAATTTCAGTAAGAAAACCAACAACCTTAAACATAGTATAAGCTGCTTGCAACAAAAAAGAAACTATCATCAATAGACTCCAAAATATCCCAGCTTCCTTCAATGACTAGTGCTGGATCCACTGCAGAAGTAAATATAGGCAATAAATCTAATTCTCAGTGTCTGGCACAGGTAGAACCATTATGAGAAAACTGGTAAATTAGATATTATAAAAAGGTTGTGATTGTGTCTTAAATCACCACAATTAATGCTCCATTTGGATAAGTGATCAGTGTGGCTCCTACCACATTGGCCACCCATCTAGAAGGAGCTTGAAACTAATAAAAATATATTTGTATTATTTGAATTAAATCTAAATAACGTTAGCAACTACAATACTTATTTGCCTTCAAAATTAATAGATTCACACAGAAGATGACATTAAAGTAATATGCCTGGGCTTTTTTACTAGGTTTACTTTAGTGTATTTGGTTAACACTAAAATAGAATCATTTAGGAATGAAAATAAGATAGAATGTATCAAAAACAGGTAGTGCACATTACAAACATGTAGAAAATTATACATATCTTGCTTTCTAAAATCAAGGAAAAAGTACAACAGTGCATTTTCTTTGAAAATTAGCTATCAAACCTTCATTGAAAAACTCCTAAACATAAGTTCTATGAACTTTGTACATTTTCATTCTTTAATAACCTATTATCATCTTAAAACTGCTATGTAATATTTAGAAAAAAATCTGCAAAAACTAAAACCTCATCTTCAAGACATTCACTTTTTGTTTTTGCAGATCCAAATCAGGCATAGTATCCTCAATCTAGCTTTTTTCACCAGGAAAATGAATTTTTGGTTTAGGTAAATTCACCTCTGAGTAGCTTTCACTACCTGAATGAACTCCAAGCCCTAGTTAGATGATGCAAACCTATTACAATCATAAGCGAGATCAGAAAATGATCAGCAAAGAAAGAAGACCAGGGGTGATAAAAGTGTTGTCTCAATGTTGAGGTTATCTAGCAATTGCATTGAAGAAAATAGGTATGTAGATTGGCCATGAAAATATTTTGTAATTGAACATTTGCCCTGCCAAAAATAGTTATAGAGTAACATATGATACATAATGTTCATCTCCATGTATGGTAGTCACTGCCTTCATGAATATCGTCTATAAAAACCATTAGACATTAGTTATCACCAATGTGCAGACACAGAACCAGTATGCTTGACCTCGTATCCATGAAAATAAAGAAAAAGAGGCTCCTTCATTTTTGATAAGGCTATACATTATTTCTTAAAATACCAAAAAGACCAAAGCACCATTTGTCTGATAAGAAGTATTTTATCAAATGACATGAATATTGTTATGATGTTATGCTCCTGTCCAAAGAATCATAGTTCGTAAATTAAGTTCACTTTTTTTCTCCAATGGTATAAAACTTCGTACATAAAAGTTGGAGTAGAAGGGAAGCATGATATCTTTTTTTTTTTTTGGCCAAAGAAGAGAAGCACACTATAAAACAACAGAAAAGAAGGCAATACTGCATACTTTCAGTGAACCAACAGTTGCAGTTGTAGGAATCTCAACAAAGAGCTCTGGAACCTTGAAGGATTTGATACGAAGCTTCACTGAATAAAGCTTCACTGAATAAACCTTAAATAGAAAAGGAAAAAAAGTTAGAGCATGCCTGGATAATACTGGCATCAGATTAGATACTAATGCATTGTGCCAATGATCTTCATACCATTACGGTCTCTGGAGCCAAGATGTAGACCTGGACTTGTAAGTGAGGATGCCACTCTAACAGCTGCATGTAAGAGCTTGGAATATTCAGCTAAAAACTGAATATATCCCTAACGCCTAAGACTATAAAATAAAGAAAAATGAAAGCTAGCAGTGTTGTTTTATTGCACCTGCACTATAGTTGTCACCATTGCTTCTTTTATCAGCAGAATTAAATCTGTCATCAAACTGAAAGCCTTGATCAGGTGCAGAGAATGGGTATTGATTAAAGAACTACTTTCTCTTGAAAGGAGAGATCCTCTATGATCTTTGATGTGTATAACTGGTTCTTCCATTATGAAAAATTGTTTTTCGCGCCCTATCTAGAAACATCGGTTAATCAGAAAATGGCATTTAATCAAGAAGGTGGATTTATAATGCTAAAAAAACAAATATAGAAACGAATGCCTACCATATTCAGTAACATGAGCAAGAAGTTATTATTAGTCGCAAACTTCAGGGAATTCAATAGACTATATCATGACATCTACAGCTACATTCATACTACATGAGCAAAATCCAATATTAATAAAACCATAGATGGGCATATACCATTTCTAAAAGAAGCCCCACCATTCAAATTTGGAGATACTCTCCAATGTTTGGATGACAGGTTCTTAATTCTTCGATCTGACAAGTCAGATGGCAGCCTAAAGGCCTTCAATGTGGTGGCAGCCTGAGTGCACCCAATGTAATTTTCATCATCATCTATACTAACTGTCTTTATATTATTAAAATGCCTAGACAGACTGAGAGTTATCTAGTCTTTGAACAATGATGCCTTTAGTGTCAGCCAAATCTGCAACTCACCGTTTGAAGAGCTGAAAAATAGAATTAACTCAATTAATTAAATAAAAAGATTGCGCAAAAATTCAACCGTACTCCCCTTTCACCAACTCAGAAAATCATGTGTGCTCGAATCATGTATCAATGCATATTGATTTAAGCATGCATGTCCAAAAATACATAACAGTTCAAATTTCAAGGCAAAATGACTAAATCAGCAAGAACTGAAACAACAAAATGATACCAATTCATTAATTTTCACCTAAAACCTAAAAAGGTAACACAATTAACAGCTTAAATTTCACAACTCATACAAAAATCCCATAAGAAAATGTCAACAGCATAACAAAGAAAACTAAAAATTTATAAAATTCAAGTGAAAGAAAACAAAAACAGAAAAATAAAAAAATTTACATCCATTCTAAGGAGTATCATCAGGCTTGCAAAAAAATTCCCAAAATTAAAAAAATACCAAATCAAAAAGAAAAAGAAAGGAAGAAAATTGAGAAATACCCAAAAATGACAGCGTTCCAAAGCATGATATTATTAGCTTGAGCAGCCCCACCAATACCAACAAGTGGATCCTGCTGTAGCCTCTTGAAGTCTCTCATCAGCCTCTTCCTCGCTGGAGAGAAATAGCAGATACCATTTTGGACCTTAAAACAGCATTTTTGAAGAAACCCAGAGGGAAGCCATCAGAATGGGAAGCAAAAAAAAACACCAAGCTTCCTTCTTCTATTTTCCTTTCTCTTCCTCCTCCCTGTTTCTCTCTTTTAATTTTTTTTGATTGTCTTCTGGAGAAAGCCTTTTTTCTCCAACCCAAAGAAGCTTCTCACTTAAAGCTTAGGAGAAGCTTCTAAAGAATGCCCTTTCCAAAATTATTCCTTAATTTTTTTTATTTACTATGCTTATCTATCCTTCAAATTGGAGAATGGGATAGCTTTTATTTATCCTTATAGATACTAGAGTGCCATCGAACTTGGCGCTGGCCAACAATTTAACGAGTACTAGGTGGCAGGGCCATGCTTTGTCGTGAGCTTGTTTAAACTATGGGTATAAAATTTTTGGATATGAAAGAAAAGTTGTTAAAATGATAAGTGTTAAAGATAACCTTTACAGCCTAATAACGAAGAAAATATTGTTTAAGCTATGAACATAAAATTTTTAAAGTTAAAAGTTTATCTCAGTCAAACAATGATAAGAGTCAAACAATGGATAGGCAAAGCAAAATTCATGGGCCAAAGAAAAAGGGAAAAAGAAAATCTTTGACAGTCCTGCCTCTACTATAAAAATGTGATATGCTTCTCCCCTTAACCCACTAGAATGGCCACATTCAGCTTACCCACTGAAGCACACATGAACCTGGATGTTTTGTCGATAGTAAATGACATAGATATTTATCTACATAAGTTTATTATGACTGGAGCTAGTGCAGGGCAGCGGGGGGTTAAGTTTTTGGAGTAAGAACTGATTAACTGATTGAAGATAACAATAAGCATTTCCAGACATGCACTTCCAATAGCAAAAAAAATGGCAGGTGTGCAACACATAAACATTGCAACAAGAGTAGTATGATATGTAATGCCTACATAACATTTACAGGTGGAACAGAAAAATGCAAAGAAAGGTAAGCGAGCACAGGTAAGGTGGAGAAAAAAGAAAGAAGATGCCTTTAGTTTATTCTGATAAATCATCCAACCATAGCAACAAACACTTCTTGAGATACATATTGGTTCTTAATCATCAAGTGAATAAAACCAATAACCTTGTAAATTTATAGCAACTATAAGAGATATATCGGGACAACAAAATAAATGTGCCAAAACTCTTGAGAAAGAAAGTTAGTTGAAGTTGGGGGAAAACAAGGTAATAAGGAAAGGAATTCCATTTAACAACATGGGAACAATAAAAGGAGAAGTAGCATAAAAAAGATCATGAATTATAAGCTATTTGAACAATTATGTAATACATTGGCATCAAAATAAGTTTAAGTTTACAGATATAATAATCTAAAAAATAAATAACGCGCCCCATACTACATGCATCTACTCCTGCTTTTCATTTTGTACAAGTGTCAATCTCAGTAAAGAAAAGAACTTGACACTTTCTTCAAATACAAGCTTTTAGAAAAGTGTTCTTACCACTTCGAGTGTTAAGATGCTTGTAATTGTAACTAATGGAATAGACTCCAAGAAAAATCATAAACACAGAAATAAACAGGTAACCAAATATAATTTGTATTAATCGAAATCAAGAGCCCTCAAGTTCTTCTCTTTAGATATAAAAGGAAAATGAAAACGACTCTTAACTACTTTTCCAAACTTAGACATAAATCATAAACCAGCTTTCCCATTAAGAACACCATCATCCATCACAACAGCAAAAACAAATTAAAATAACTTAACAACTTTTTCAAACTTAGACATAAATTATAAACTAATTTTCCCATTAAGAACACCATCATCCATTAACGACAACCAATCTTTTGATAAGGTTTTAAAATCACAAAGGCTAAGGCTCATAATATCTAAAAAAAGAAACCAACAAAACAATGTCTAATACATAGACTCGCAGGTCACCAAATTGCAAGTTGTTTACCATGGTTTATCCCTTTCAAAATATACCTTCACAGGAAGAATTTCCATAACTAAAGCAAGTAGCAGGCTAATTTGTTTGTGCACCATTCCTTCACTGGCTCTTTAAAGGTGGTTTTCGAGTAAAGAAGAAATAAACAGGCGGAAAAATCTCTTTCCTACAATCCAAAATTACAGATTATGTCAGCACGTTAGTCGACCTATTGAAAATGGAGATTGTGTCCAACTTCTGTTTTTCTTTAAAAGCTTTCTATGTGCATATCCATTCAAACTACAATTTTTTCAAAGTTAGGGGTAAACCAACATGCAGAAGAAATTATGGAGAAATAGGACTTCAACTAATCTGCCACCTTCAACCAACCCTTTTGTAGCCTTCTCCAGAAAATCTTGAACCCTTTGACTTCCCTTTGGAGCAAATCCTACAAATTCTAGAGCCTTGACCTATAACAAGGAAAAATTATAGGTAAACACTTATGAACTTAATACGACCATCTTATCCAAGAGCATCACTTTTTCATAAAGAGTATCATGAAAATGAAGGGTCCTTTGAAAGCTTGTACCATATTTTTAGTAATAAAGCATTCGATAGTTGTTAGACATAAGCTACTCAATGAGAAGTGATTTCTATCTGAAGGCAGGTAACAAGGGATAGGGTGGTCAACAACAAAATCTTTCTCCCATATGATCTAGAAATACAAAATGAAAATAATTACCGGTCATATTCCATTCCCAATTAAAAAGGAAAAGAGGAGGGAGGGGAAAAGAAGTAAAAATTCACCTCAAAATTAGCCTTTTTTAGAGCATCCAGGCACTGTCTAGTCAACCTGATATCTGGAAGACCATCATCAATCTTAATTTCTGCTTGTATAAGTGATACTTTCATGTAAGATCAACTAATGGATACACATCAAACCAAGGAACATTTTAATGCTCTTTAGATGCCCACCTTAATTTTTTGATGTTTTTGGTTATGTGGATCAAAAGAATCAGTCACGCACAACTCATACATAGCAAAACACTGACCTAACTTTAGTACTTTATAAATCTCCTTGTAGCATCCATACTACACAACAGAGATAACAATCCAATCAAACCAGAAAAAATCAATATATGACAGAAACTTCATAATCCATTCTAACCATGATGAAAATAATCGTGATTGAGATAGGAAAAATTTTAAATTGACATACAGCATCCGTTGCATGGCAAGTAGCTTTGATTGCATAAATTGCATCAAAGCCGTTGTCAGAAAATGGCATCTTCATAAAGTCAACCTACATTAGACAACAGCAACAAGAAAACTAGTCATTGAATGCCTTCGCAGTTTACTTATCAACAATTTTACGACATACAATATTACACATTCGTAGTTCTCCATGGTGTGCAACATTTATTGCATATAAATATGTTAGTGCTTCACAACACAGGCACATGGTTTAATAATTTAAATTTATATATATATATATATATAGTAACTTGAACCAATATCAAATAAATCACTTGAAACAATATATATATATATATATATATATTTATATCTAATATATATATATATATAGTAACTTGAACCAATATCAAATAAATCACTGTCGAAAATGTGCTGGCAAACAATCCCCCTCCATTCTTCCTCCTGCACCCCAGTCTCCCACCTACCAAACAGGCAGCTTTCTGTTTACAATTTAAATGATGATATCATATATAGATATAATAATCAATGTTTATTTTAAGGCCAAAGAAATGATAAACTTCAATCCATTCATTCTTGGAACCTTATTCCTTTGTAATCCTACATTAACTGATGACCAAGACTTCCAGATCCGTTGGTCTCAATCACATATTATTATTCTAAATTGACCTTAATTAGAACAAAATAAAAATAATAATAATAAAAAAGAGAAAAGAGATAATGCAAATCTAAAATCCTAATCTAATTTAGAAAGTCAAAAGTCCACAATCTATATTCCATTTGTTTATCTGCCTAGGGTTGGGTTGAATTGAAATTCCAATCAAATTGAAGCAAGCATTTGCTCCTTCCTATGATTCCACAATCTGCTTTCCTTTTCGCTACAAATAATTATACCAAAAATAATAATCCTAACAATAATCTCACTGAAAATAAGCAATTATTTTCTATAAATCTTGAAACCTAAAAACTGTAATGCAATAAAATTTAGGAGTTTACCTTTGTTCATAAGAATCATAGTTGGCAGAATTAGTGAAATCGAGGGGAATAATTATTTGTGATATTCTATTTAAGAAAACAACGGCAAATATCAAACCCAATTTATACAACAGCAAAACAACTTCAACAGTAAAATCTTATAAACAACAAAAAAATAATAACTAATACTAAACATGGGTAAAATAATTTGGTCCAGACACAAAACAATATGGGTAATTCTATATGTGAATGGGGAAGCCAATCATAATCTTAGAAACGATAATCGAAACACAATGAAATTTACCAAGAATAGAGAACCCTTTATAAGTTATGTAAGCAGAGGATATTACCCTTGTCTTCAGAACAGTTTTACCATTAAGCACAGCAGTCAATCGATGCAAAAGAATTAAAAGCACAATTCATACACACAATGCAAGCATTCTTAACAATGTTATATTTTAAGGCTCTTCTCTTTTTTATGTTAAGAGGTGGGCTTTCATCCAAGTTCCAATTACATTTCTAGTATGAGCTTAAATCTGTAAATTTTAATCCAACAATCTTCCTGAAGAATTCAACTCACTCAAGCTTTAAAAAAATAATGAAACAGAATCATATCTTGATTTAGATTTTCTTGTATCTAAATTGCTAACAAAGTCAGAATACAAAAGGTACCCAAACCTATTCATTCAATCGAAAAGAACTTTAACAACAGAACGCTCTTTCTCAAGTTCATATAACTCTGTTACTAAAAAAAAAGGTTTATATAACTCTGTTGTTTTTCTGTTGTCCTTCCTCGTCCACTGATATTTCAACCTTGAGTTAATATTTACAGCATTTTACAATTTTAAAAAAATAGCCTTACCATTTTCATGGGCATCAGCAGATTGAAAATCTCCCATTTTATTATCATTATTGTAATCGTCAATTTCTAATTTTTCACCTGAAACGCTTGATTTCGAACTAACCCTTACTGATTCCCTATTCAGTGAACTTACCTCATGATCATCGCTATCTATAACTTTCTGGGGAACCCCATCACTCCCCCCTTTCTCGACTTGGTCGTTGTTGAATGTAGCGTTGGAACTGACCTCGATGCCACCGCAGCCGATGCGAGTGGCACCCCTGGTTCCGCATTGGATTTCTTTTCGCCAAATAGAATCAGTAACTATTTTGAGGAGGAAGAGGATAGTGATACCCTCCACATTGGATCCCCAATAGCGTGAACGGGCTAGAACTTTCTAGAACAGTTTAAGATGCCTTTAGTCTTAAATCACTCAAATTATTTTTAAGGACAATAATGAGAAAAATATAGCTTACCTAAAAATAACGTGCATGAAAAAAAAAAAAAAAAAAAAAAAACACAATTGAAACACAGAACTAACATCAAGAAAAACCTATCACCTCAAAAATATAAAAATTTTGATGAATACATGCAAATAAAGCAATGCATGAAAACAAAAACAATTAATCGAACAACAACGCTACACAAAAACAACAATGTCAAAACAACAACAACAACAAACCACCAACAAAAAACATGCCACCCAACAAAAAAAAAGGAAAAAAAAAGAAAGACAACAGAAACTTACCTTGACGAACAAAACAAAGAAGAGAGAAAATACAATGAAAATGTTGAGAAAAAGAAAAGCAGGAACTAAAGAAGAAAAACACTCGGACCGCTTAAAACCAACATTCACCCATAAAATGACCAAAATTAACCTTTCTACATGTATTTATTACGTGGCTGACGTGGACAGTAATATCACAATAAAGGGACTGTTTTTTATATAATGGTATAGATTATAACCAATATTTTTACAATTGTCCAAAATCATATTGTTAATCATGCTAGAAATATTTCCTAAATACATGTCATAATTGATCTAACCATAAATAGAGCACATAATTTTAATTAATGATCACGTTATAAGGTAAGGTCATTTTCGTTATGCTATATTTAAATATAAAATATTCAAACATCGTTAAGCAAAATTATAAAATTGAGTTCATATGCAAAGGTGTAGAGAAGATAAAATCATATTTGCCATTTGTTTTTCTATTGCACAAATGCGCACTTTAACTAAAACAAAAAGCATAAAAAAATTATAACACTTTAAAATATATAAAACGTCTGCTTTTTGAATCATGGTTAAAAATTTCAGCACAATACTTAATTATTCATCTTAGATTGCTCAAGTCCTAAAATCCCAACCATATTACTATTAAACCATCATTATATATATATATATATATTGTTTTAAAACAATCAAAATTAGTATAATTAGTCAAAGTTTGATCAAATATCAAATTATGACGGACACTTGAAATTTCAATAGCACAAACTAAAAAAACACAACTCGATCAAAGATATTTAAAACCAAACCCAGTCTTTTTACAAACATTAAACATTTACCAACTCACTGTGAGATTAGATGATACCTTCGTGAAAGATTTTGGCGGTGGTTTCTTACTTCAAAAATAGAATATTAAGGGAAGGAAGGTTAGGGTAGAAAAAGAGGAATGCTTCTTGCGCATTTTTTGTCAATCACAGGCGGTGGTCGATGGAAACAAAGATGACTCTCAGTGGAGGAGCGTTTTAAGAAATCTAAACCGATGAAAACTAAGAGCAAGTGAAGGGGAATAACATATTCAAATTTCAGGCGGTTTGAGGCAATGGAAGTGAAGTTTTTACGATTTGAAGCCATGACTTTCAGGTTCCAATCTAGTTTTTTTTTTTTTTTTTTAATTTAGAAAATCCAATCTAAAAGATGTGTAGAGGAAATCGAGAGGAGATTGGGGAAGTTTATGAGAAAAATCTGTCGCTGATAAGTGGATGTCGGCAATGAGTGGGGCACGACATGCTTGTCATTTTCCTTTTTAAGGGAGTAGTGAGAGAGTGAGGGAATAATTTCAAGATGGAGGAAGAAGTAGGAAAATGAAAAATAGAAAAAAAAAAAAAAAAAAGTGAAAAGGGAGCTGAAGGGATGCCACGTGACATCTAAACTGAATTTTTATTTTTATTTTTCGAAACTTAGTGTATGGATGTTTGTAATAAGGTTAAACTCAGAAGATAATGGTTTTGTTAATTTTCCATCAGTTTCGAACGCGTTTGTTTTACAGCTGCTACAGCTTAAATCTTTGGTTAATTCCTTCTGTCCGCTCAGAATCATGTTAATAGCCAGCGGGGTTTAGATTTCTTTTAATTTCATATAGATCAATGATAATTGCATATCGTGAATCTTAATCCATTTTTATGTCCATAATAAATGGAATACATAGTCGAATAAATTAGTATTTGAAGCAAACAATGTTTACTTACTATTCGACCAGAAAGGCGATGAATAAGAGTGAGTTTGAGCAGTCCATTTTTAGGTATGCCTGCTTTTAATTATAGGTTTACTTTTTAATTAGTTTTAATCCCGATGCACGGATGCATATTGTGATAAAAATAATTTTTAAGATATTATATAGTTATAATATGTTTTATCTTATATAAATATTTAAAAATAAAAATTTTTAGGAAAAAGACAATTGTACTACATAGATAGTTTAATATTTTGACATGTGAGCATTCTAAAAAAAATGACATGTCTTTAATTAATTTATATTTTAAATTTTAAATTTTAAATTTATATTGGAAAACAGTTTAATTTTAGATATCTTTTTTTCATATTTGCATATCCAATTGAATGGTTTTTTTTTCTTTTTTGAGCCAAAAGAAATTGTAATATTATACAATCAAACTATGAATGATGGAAGGGCATATCCCTATCCATTTCTCCTCCGAAACCACATTAAGAGCATGTTTTGCCAGGAAATCAGCTAGTTTGTTAGCATATCTCTTCACATGCCCTACTGTAAAGGTCTTAAATGTTCTTCCCATGTTCCTCACGTCACCCAATATTCGCCCCACGCAGGACAAATCCTTAGCACCTGTCTTGCATCTATTAATCACTCTTAAGGCATCCCCTTCAAGGCATATTTCTTCTAGACCCAGTTTTTTTTTGCAAGCTCCACTGCTTTTGCCACAGCAACAGCTTCAATGATGATTGGGTTTTGAACTTGGGCGATCTTTAAAGTGATGGCCTCCAGGAAGTCCCCTTTCCCGTCCCTAGAGATAGCTTCAGCGCCTCCACTTTTTGCTTCTCGATTAAGGGCTCCATCAAAATTGATTTTGACCAATCCGTGAGGTGGCGGTGTCCACTTTTCACTTGCTTCACTTGGCGTTGCTCCTACATCCTGTTTAGCTTTCTATACTCTTGTAGATAACACCCGGCAAACTGTCCCACAAGAGCTGGCGTTCTGTGGACCTCATCTTTCAAAACCAGGTTCCTATGATGCCATGTTGCCCAGCATAAAGCCAGTCCCTATTCGAGACTATTAGAATCCAGTTGTTCAGCTATTTCTGTTAGCCAACCCTTTTCAGTAGTTTGATCAAACTCACGCCATCTAGCTTCCATGTTCTGTAAGCTCCATACTTCCTTAATACTTGCGCATTCCAACAGTGCATGTACGATAGTCTCTTCCTGCAGTCCACACCTTAGGCATGCAACATCTACATCGATTTCTTTTCTCCTCAGCTGAGTGTACACTGGTAGGAGACCTTTATTTAGTCTCCACCCCAATATTTTACTAGGGATTTTAAGGTTCCACAATCTTGTCTAGAAACTTCTTTCCCTATCTGTTTGTGCAACAATGGTATTTCCACTCATCCTCATCTGATCATTCACCAACCAATGATAAATGCTCCTCACTGAGAAACGGTCGTTTGCTTCCAAACTGCAGAATAGTGCATCCGCATGGCTTTCATGGCTTTGTGGCAGCCCCATTATTGCTTCTTATTCTTCGTCAGTAAATAGAGCCCTTATTATTTTTGTATTCCATTCACGTGGAAGAGGTCGCATAAGTTTAGCCATTTTGGCATTTCATTGAGACATATCTATGAATTTCTTTCAAAGTAGAGCATCCTGTTATGAAATAGCCAGCAATCCTTCAAGATCCGTATATGGTCTCCATTTCCCACCCTCCAGCATAACCCAGCTTTAAGCACGTCTCTAACCGACCATAGGCTTCTCCATGTCATGGATGGGTTTCGACCCAAGGTGACCTGCATGAAATTTTCATTCGGGAAGTATTATCACTCAGCACCCTATGTACCAGAGAGTTTGTGTTCTGTAATAACCTCCAACACTGTTTGGCCAAGAGTGCCTTGTTAAACAATTCAAAATTCCTAAAAACCATGCCCCCTTCCCTTCTATTCACACGCAAATTCTCCCATTTGAGCCAATGTAGCCCTTTCTTGTCCTTCTTTGAGCTCCACCAAAATTTGCTAATAATACCATTTAATTCCTGGCAGACAACCTTTGGCAGTAAGAAGCAACACATAGCAAGACTGATTTAATAAATATTTCCTTACCTCCCATTTTTATCTAGAGATTTTTCAAAATTCATTGGGATTCAAATATTGGATCCTAATTCAAAAAATCTTAGATCCGAAAATTAAAAGCTCAAAAATTTTAATTTTAATTTTGATTTGATTTTACTGACCAAAGTATAAAAAAAGTAAGAAAAAAAAAACATGTGATTTATCTGTGCAGATTACTTTGGGATTTGATTCTGTTATATTCAATCTCAGATTCGATAATTCATTGATTAATCAATTATGAAAAATTTAGGGCTTAATTCATGAAAAAAGAAAAAAATTACACAAAATCAAATCATGAAGATTTTTTCTAGATCTGGTGAAATTAAAGTTTTTTGAATTGAATTGGGATTTGATCCCTATAAAAAACTTGGAATCTGTGATCACAAAGGGAGTTCGGACATTCGCAAATCAAGATCAATAAGAGGCCATCAAAAAGCAAGAGATTTGGTCAAAGTTTTTGAGTCTTCAAAAGGAAGGGGAGATACGAAGCCAGCCAACAGAGGCAGTGAGCAATTAGCCTCAAGTACTGAACAAGAATTAAAGAAGCACACAGAAAGCAATAAAGGATCGAACAATTAGCAAGGAACAAGAGATCAATCAAGGAAAAGCAATCTATCAGCAATTTTAGAAGTAGTTACGAGACATCAAGCAATAAGTGAGAATTTAGCAAAGAGCACGGACAATTCAGGCAATCAATTAACAAGGAAGAAGAAGCAGTTAAGAGGAGAAAATACTCAACAGTAGCAAATAAAAAATAAGTAGAAAGCAATTCGGGCAAATCACATACAGCTACCAGCAGCCAACACAGATTCAACTAACTTCCAAACCGCAAGCCAGTAAACCCAAACCCAGTCGATCAACCTACAAAATACCCAATACCTGGCATTCAAACTCAAAATCAACCAGCA